AATTGATACGTGTATGTGTGCGTTTGAATATGTGTGGGTTGTGTGCGTGTGTTTGCGTGCGTGTGTGTGTGTTTGTGTGTGTGTGTGTGTGTGTGTGTGTGTGTGTGTGTGCGTGCTTACAACAAAATAGCCCTAAGGTTCGATCAATGACAATCATTTATCTGCTTAGCTAAAACTTGATTGATGACATAAACAAACATGAACATTTTAAAATTATTTTCTATGGTCTAAAAATAGTTTCTTGAACTAGTTTTTTTATTCTTTGCAAACATCAGGGATGTATAAATTGATTTCGCCACTTCCGATTTTTAAATAATTTTTGCAATCATCATCATCATCAACAACAACAACAACAAAATCACTATTACCATCAACAAAAACACCAACATCATTATCATCATCATCAAAAACAGCAACATCATCATCAACAACAACATCACTATCATCATCAACAACAACATCTTCATCATCATCAACAACAACAACAACAACATCACTATCATCACATCACACATTCATTCGTCTTTTCCGTTTCCAACTATTTAAACTCTACGCCTCTTGTTTCCGAGTTCATTCATTCATTCATTCATCATCTTCTTCTTCTTCTTCACCATCATCATCATCATCTTCTTCTTCACCATCATGAGGGGGTCATTTGGTATGAGCCTCCCAATATGACGAACCTTAGAAAAGGTTAAAGGTCAAATGACCGGTGCCTAGTAATTGAAATGGCTCTTAAGGGCTCTGATCATGTATATTTATTTAAGCTTGGTTTAAGCTTAAAAAATGAATACGTTACCTTTGAATCCACTAAATACCTTTTTTCTGTCTGTCTGATTGTCTCTCTCTCTCTCTCTTTGTCTCTCTTTTTCTCTCTTTCTCTTCACTTACTACTACTAATACTGCTGCTACTAATGTTATCGAAAATTATGTTAGCCATGGTAACAAATAATGACCACAACAACGACAATAATAACAACAATAACAACAACTATAATAATAATAACTGCAATAATAATAATAATAATAATGAAGAATTGTAACAATGCTACGAAGGCAGTTACCTAGGCGGCGTGTTATTAACCCTAGCTAGTTAGTTATTTATGATTAATACGAATGAATGAATAAAATTTTCCATAGTAATAAATATAAATGTATATTATACTATCTAATCGAGACGAGACGAGATAGTATTTATTGATTTGATACGAGATGAGACGAGACAACACAAGACAAAACGAGACGGCAAACGAGAAGGATTCGATACGATACAAGAAAATATGTGACTGAGACAACATGACCCAATCTGACTCAGCAAGTTGCAAGCTGAAGATGTCCCTAGACGATACGAAACGAGACAGCATGTATGCAACAATTTGTTTCGAGACGAGGCAAATAACAAAACGCTAAATTATTTGTTCGCAAACTCGTGTCATGCATATTTTTTAATGAATAGAGATAATGTAGGTATGAAAACGCATAATTCCGATACCACGAGACGATATTATGTGTAGATCGATACGAGAATATTATAACGAAACGAGACATGTCTTTTTACAAGAGAATATTATAACGAAACGAGACATGACTTTTTAATTACTCACTTTACTGATTGCAAAATATTCTTGGACATTTTTGTTACGAATGACAGCTGATTGGAAGGATAAAACATGACGAATGTTCAGCCAACCATGTGTTTTTTGTTTGATTCGTTCGTTCGTTCGTTCATTCGTTCGTTCGTTTGAAAACAAAGAATAAATAATCCATTACAAACAAAGAAGAATAATAAGCAAAAAACAAACAATTAACAAAGGATAATAATTCATCTTAAATAGTTTCCAAAAAAGGAGGTTGAGGTTTTTCCCATAGAACTGATAGCTGTGATGTCAATTTTAATACTTATCTATGCATCCAGGTTTCGCTAAATGTTTTGTTCTTTGCTTATTCTGATAACGATGATGATAATGATGAAGATGGGGATGATGATTAGGATGATGATGATGTTGTCGTCTTGAATGTTGCAAATGCTGATGTTAATAACAATAATGCCTATCAATCAATCAATCCATCAATCAATCAGAAAAGCAATTTAACATTTAATAAGGCATCAATCAAAAACATTCATTCATTCATTTATTCGTTTATCCATCCATCGATTCCTTCATTCATCAATTCCTTCACCCACCCATCCATCCATCCATCCATCAATCAATCAACGGATTATTCTTTTGACTGGTAACGATTTATCAATTTAAAAAGCCATTTGCAGAATACGAAAAGACGCACACGCACACACACACACACACGCACACACACACACACGCACACGCACACACACGCATATAGTAGTTGTTGGTCAATTAGAGAGCGAATTAAAAAATGTTGTAATTAGCAACAATAATTAAAAAATTATCAACATCATCCTTTGGCATTTAAAATGGTAATGAAAAGAAAGCTTACTTGCTATGCTACTACTACTACTACTACTACTACTACTACTACTACTACTACTACTACTACTACTACTTTTGCTGCTGCTACTACAACAACAGCTACTACTACTTTTGCTGCTGCTACTACTATTACTACCACAACAACAACAGCTACTACTACTACTTTTGCTGCTGCTACTACTATTACTACCACAACGACAACAACAACAGCTACAACTACTACCGCTGCTGCAACTACTACTACTACTACTGCTCATGCTTCCATTACTACTATTGTTACTAGTGCTGCTGCTGTAGCTACTACTACGGCTTTAACTTTAACTACTACTTTTGAAATATCTTGTTAGCAGAAGTTAAATGCTGTAGGCGAACTTTTTAATTTAACGCATAATTAACTGAGTAGTTGTTCATGTTATTGATATTATTATTATTATTATTTGTAGTAGTAGTAGTGGTAATAGTAGTAGTAGCAGCAAAAGTAGTAGTAGTAGTATAGTAGCAGTAGTAGCAGTAGTAGTATAGTAGTAGTAGTAGTAGTAGTAGTAGTAGTAGTAGTAGTAGAAGCAGCAGCAGCAGTAGTAGCAGCTGCAGCAGTAGTAGCAGCTGCAGCAGTAGTAGTAGTTGTAGCAGTAATTCAATTTTAACTTTTTTCCAATTAGATAGAAATTAAAACATTTTAATAACTTAATTGGATTTATTTTTCTTTTTAATTTTAAAAAATATTTAATAATTTAATTAATTAAGGAAAATAAATGGCGATACTTATCCGCATGCATTAAAATTAATGAACAAAGTGTAGATGTGTGTGTGTGTGTATTTGTTTGTGTGTGTACGTGTGTGTTTGTTTGTGTGTGTACGTGTGTGTGTGTGTTTGTGTGTTGACGGTGATAACGATGATGACGATGACGACGATGATGTCTTTGATTATGACAATGATGGTGACGAAGAAGAAGAAGAGGAAGAAGAAGATGACGACGAAGACGATGATGATTAATCATTAATTGGCCAGCCCAAATATTCAGACAAGCTAAAACAACCCATATATGATTCACAATGGCCACTAAAGAAACAGCAATAACAATGTATGACCATGCATTTATACATACATACATACGTACGTACGTACATACATACATTCATACAAACAAAGAACATACATACGTACATACATTCATACATACAAAGAACATACATACGAACAACCATACAAACATACAAAAAGCAACCCCACTGAACCAAGCTGTGTATGTTTGAATGTATGCATGAGTAATGTGTGATTCACACAGCCATAAATTTTCGCTTATCACAAGTATGATCGTAACATAAAATATTTTTCGCTTGTGTGGCGGGTTCTTGAAAATAACTTTATTGTTTTCTCTCTCTCTCTCTCTCTCTTCTTTTTCTTCTTTCTTTCCTTTTTTTCTCTTTCCTTCTTGTTTTTCTTATAATTCTTTCTTCTAATTCTATCTCTCCGTTTTATCCTCCATTTTTTTCTTTCGGTTTTTCATATTCGTTCACTTATTTACTCCCACTTTCAATTTCTTTTGATCTCTCTTTCTTTCCTTCTCTCCCTCTCTCTTACTCTCCCTCTCACCCCCTCTCTTACTTTTACTCTCTCCAAAACGCGACTATTCATTCCAGGGTTTTCCAGATAGCCAGCCGCCTGATTCATTGTGCGAATATTCGGCCGGTCAGTGATGAAGACGATGACGATAAAGATGATGATGGTGATGACGATGGCTATGTTGGCCTTGACGATGATGATGACGTCAATGTTGTTGTTGTTGTTGTTGTTGTTGTTGTTGTTGTTGTTGTTGTTGTTGTTGCTGTTGTTGTTGTTGTAGACGACGATGATGATGAATGATGACATGAAGATAATAATAATAATGATACTGAGGATGATGAAAATGTCATTCATGATGACGACGACGACGATGATGAGATTGATGAAGTTGAAGATGATGATGACGGTTACATTGTTAACAGACCGAATAAATCATTACTGTAACACTATGGAATGAATAGAAATTTAAATTATACGTTAATATTTATTTATTTGGTTGGTTGGTTGGTTGGTTGGTTGGTTGGTTGGTTGGTCGGTTGGTGGATATGATAATTGATTGAATGAATGATTGGATAAATTTGATAGTTGGTTGAATGAATGAACAATTAGTTTGATACTTTATTGAGTGTTTGGTTATTTAATTAATAAATTAGTTATTTTGTTAATTGATGAATTGGTTGGTTGGTTAGTTGATTGATTGGTTGGCGAAATAGTTGACCAGCTGATTAAAAATATTAAAAAAATTTAATGAAGCGTTTGGTGATTTAATTAAAAAAAACACCTATGATTAAAAGCGCAGTTAGCTTGAATTACGTTGATTGTGTTTTTTCATCGTCTTCCCTTTCAAAGTTCGCATTGATTATTTTCAAAAAATATAAAAATAAATAAATAAAATATCATTAAAAAAATAATAATAATATAATAAAATAAATAAATAAAATATCATTATAATAATAATATGATAAAATAAATAAATAAATCATTTTTATTCCTATTTTCTTTGGATGACCATGACACTAAGTGACTAAGCCAAGGCTTAGTGACTTGTCTTAGTGTCATCCCAAAAATTAATAGAGTCACTAAGCACTAAGAAATCAAGAAATAGTCTACTAAGAACAAAACTAACTATAATTATTATTATATAATAATTAATAAATAATAAATAAAAACTTATTAATATTAAAAAATAAATTAAATAATAATTGAAATAATAATAAACAACAAGAATAAAATATTCAAATATGGGGGAAAAAAGCATCAGGAACCTTTTCAGTACCCCTAAGAATAATCGCGTCAATAGTTTGCCATTAGGATCATATTTAGCTGGGATTAATCATAATAATAGTAATAATAACAATGAAAAAGTTTGTTAATGTTATTTGTTATTGTTGTTTTTTTATCTTTTATGTTGTTCTGTTATTGTTGGTATTTTTATTGCTGGTGTAACATTTTATTTTTTGCTATATTTTTAAGTCGATTCAAATTTTTACTATTGTTACTGCTACTACCATTACTCTACTACTACTACTACTACTACTAGTATCTACAGTTGTTACTACTACTACTACTGCTGCTAATACTACTACTATTATTAATTAATTTATATTACTATTTTTTTTATTAATACCCCCAGACAAACATAATAAAAAAAGGAACTCTGGAAAAACAAAGTGTGAAATTTTTTTCCTCTTGGAAGATTCGTACCGTCATACTTACTGAAAATGTCCTAATCTGCTATGAGAACGAAAACAAGATGACTCCGATCTATCTAGAAGGCAAGAGCGTCTCAGAAGTCGATGTCAGTGAGCTCGGCAGCGGTTTGGCAGGTGGGGGCCAGAGTAGTAACAACAATAAATATTTATTCAGGATTTATGATTGTTAGTATTTTTTTGTTTTGTAATTTTTTTCTCAAAATGAAGTAAATTGATCCTGTTATACGAAACTAGATTTACTACTGCTATAACTACAATTGTCATTAGCCATACTGACACAAATAACAATAATCTAACAAATAATAATAATAATATTTATGTTAATAATAATATTTATTATTATTATAATTATTATTATGGTAATAATAATAATAATAATGGTATGAGAAAAAATGTCCCAATTATAAATAATGAGTGTTTATGATCATGAGATCAAATGCTTCTATGAATAACCCATTAAACTGTTTCAAATTCATATTAATGTAATTATTATTTCTATCATAATTACAATAATCGAGATAATAATAATAATTATTATTACTATTTATGTTTTAATTTAAAGTAAAAGTAGTAGCAGTAGTAGCAATAGTAGGAGCAGCAGCAGCAGCAATAGTAGTAGTAGTAATAGAAGTAAATTTCCCTTTTTTTTAATGATGATGATGGTGACAATATTTATAATGATGATAATGATAGAGATTAAAAAATAATGACATAATAATAATAATTATTATTGGATAAAAAATTATAATTATAATATAGTTATAATTATAGTTATAATTCATTCGTTCGTTCGTTCGTTCATCCATTCATTCATTTATTCATTCATTCATTCATTCATTCATTTTTCTTTCCGTTGTAAACAATATCTGTCTCATCGTATCATTATATCAGACTTTACTAAACTTATCATAATAATAATAAAAACGATAATAATAATAATGATCAATAAAATTGATTTTTTAATTAAAAATATTATATTGCAAATCTTATACCCATTGGTACATCTTTTTTTCACACTGATGTTACTATGATCATTACTTCTAATACTACTACTACTATTACTGTTACTACTACTACTACTACTACTATTACTACTACTACTACTACTGCTAAAAGTTCTTTATTTCTTCAAATTAAACAAAACAGAAATATGTATGTATTTCTTTGTAATGAATGAATGAATGAATGAAAATTTCTTCACTATTACTACTACTGCTACCACTACTACTACTACTACTACTACTATTATTACTACTACTACTACTACTACTACTACTACTACTACTACTACTACTACTACTGCTACTACTACTACTACTACTACTACTACTACTACTACTACTTTTATTAATAGGTATAATGTTAGTATTCATTACACAATCTCATAGCTAAACTTGACAACATTGTATATTCATATAGCTAAACATGGCAACAACAGCAACTACAACAATTATAATTATAATAATAATAAAAATCGTAATAATGGCAACAATCGAAATGCTGATAGCAGTGGTGATGGTTGCTTTTTCGACCGGCAAACGTCATCGTCGTCGAAGTTGTTATCATCACCGCCATCATCCTTTTCTTCCTCTTCGCCATCCTCTTCAAAATCATTATTATTTCCATCTAAATCATCATCATCATCTTCAAAAGCGTCATCCTCATCGTCGTCGTCGTCATCAAAACTCTCTGGGGATGTTTTTGCCGCCAAGACTGACGAAGATAGGAAAGAATGGGTGAAATGCCTGAAAAGGGTTCTCTACGCTAAATCAGGAGGAGGTTGTGGTGATGATGATGTTGTTGGTGGTGATGATGATGTTGTTGGTGGTGATGATGATGTTGTTGGCTGTGATGATGATGTTGTTGGTTGTGATGATGATAATGATGGGATTGGGGATGGTGGTGATGATGATAATTACGACGACGATGAAATAATTACGGCATTTGAAAATCACCAACAAATTATTAATATTGAACTGCACACACGCACACACACACACACACACGCACGCACACACACAAACGAACGAACGCACGCACACAGCTATATTTGGTATGACTCTTGATGACGTCATGATGTATCAACGAAGGAAATACATCAACAACAACGCCATCAACAACAGCAATGACGTCTTTAACAACAACATCAGCAACAACAACAGCAGCAGCAGCAGCAGCAGCAACAACAACAACAGCAACAACAACAACATTAGCAACATATTTAACAACGACAAATACACAGTACCCGATATTGTGTACATGTGTGTTGAGTTCATACTGCAGTACGGTTTACATACAGATGGCATTTTTAGGTATGCAGTGATGATGATGACGACGAAGATGATAACAATGATGATGATGATGACAATGATGATGATGATGACAATAATGATGATGATGATGACGACGATGATGATGATGATGATGACGACGACGACGATGATGATGATGATGACGATGATGATGATGACGACGATGATGATGATGATAATGACGATGATGATGATGACGATAATGATGATGATGATGATGACGATGATGATGATGACGACGACGATGATGATGATGATGACGATGATGATGATGACGACGATGATGAAAAAAATGATGACGATGATGATGATGACGACGACGATGATGATGATGATGACGATGATGATGATGACGACGATGATGATGATGATGATGACGATGATGATGATGACGATAATGATGATGATGATGATAACAATAATGATGACGACGACAATAATAAACAAAGTCACGTGTTATAATTGTCAGATGTATACAGACTTAGCAGACTTATTAACTTCTAACTTATGAGTACCTTAATATTTACATATATGTGTGTGTGTATGTGTGTGTGTATGTTTGTGTTTAAATATACATTCATATATACATATTGTACATATATGTGTACATTATATATATATATATATATATATATATATATATATATATATATATATATATTATATGATGCAAATAAATGTGCATTTAATTAATTAATTAATTTATTTATTTATGTTTATATATACATTCATATATACACATTGTACATATATGTGTACATTATTATATAAATATATATATATAAATATTATATGATGCAAATATATGTGCATTTTAATTATTTATTTATTTACAGACTCTCAAGCAAGGCTTCCTGCATATGGATGCTGCAAGACCAGTTTGATCGAGGCTTGAGACCTCCTCTGGACCCCCTCCTCAATAATAATAATAATAATAACAACAACAATAATAATAATAATACTAATAACAATGGTTATAATAATCATATTAATAATGATGGACTTAATATTAGGAACGCTAATAACTGTAATGATCTCGTTAATGACAGCAATAGTACTACTACTACAACTACTACTGCTACTGCTGCTGCTGCTTTTACTACAACTACAACTACTACTACTACTACTAATAATAATAATAACAATAGCGTTCAACAGTGGCAACAGCCAATAGCAAAGGCCCTTTCGACGCCTCTAAAATTAGACCAAATTGCTATGACATCATCGCCAAAAATAACCTTGACGTCATCGTCGCTAAAAATAACTCCATCCTCATCATCACCATTGCAAGCTTCATCGTCACAAACATCATCATCATCGTCATCACAAACATCATCATCATTATCGTCATCATCACAGACATCATCATCGTCGTCGTCATCATCACCTGTGCTGCTAAATATAGCACCGACCGATGTACACACGGTGGCATCTCTGCTGAAATCGTATCTTATTCAGATGCCGGATACCGTTATACCGAACAAATACTACGAAGCCATTATGACCGTTGTAACTCGAGAGTACAATATCAATAGAGAGGCGTCCATAGATAAAATATCCGATGTTATATCTATGCTACCCTGCCATCACTACAATTTGTTAAGGTTCTTTGGTTTTTTCTTTTTTGTTCTTTGTTGTTGTTGTCGTTGTGATGATGAGGATGATGATGGCAATTAATTTTAGTTATGACAATATGTTATGTCCATGAAATAATATAATTAGCCTTCAGATCAGAATTTTTAATTATTATTGTTGTTAATAATAATAATAATAATAATAATAAATGAATAATAATAATAATAACAAAGAACAATGATATCAATAAACCATAGATATTTAAGCGCCTTCTTGAAAGTCGTGGGCGATAATGAGTGCTACAACAGGATGTCTTACTCGAATTTGGCCAAAGTTTTCTGTAACGCTATTCTTCAACCTGAGGTTATGATGACGATGATGACG